AGGAGGTGGGTCAAAAAGGATCTTGCTGTGATTTATGTCATAGAGTGTTCTGCCTATGTTTTCCTCTAAGAGTTTGATAGTGTCTGGCCTTACATTTAGGTCTTTAATCCATTTTGAGCTTATTTTTGTGTATGGTGTTAGGGAGTGTTCTAATCTCATACTTTTACATGTACCTGTCCAGTTTTCCCAGCACCACTTATTGAAGAGGCTGTCCTTTCTCCACTGTACATTCCTGCCTCCTTTATCAAAGATAAGGTGTCCATATGTGCGTGGGTTTATCTCTGGGCTTTCTATCCTTTTCCATTGATCTATATTTCTGTTTTTGTGCCAGTACCATACTGTCTTGATTACTGTAGCTTTGTAGTGTAGTCTGAAGTCAGGGAGCCTGGCAGGCAGATTCTTAACCACTACGCCAGTAGGGAAGCCCCTATACTGATTGGTTTTTGAAGGTTAAACCAGTCCTGCATTCCTGGGATGATCTTTATAGATGGAATCTCAAGGATGACAGTGTATGGCTGAGATGGAATGAGAAGACAATAAAGTATTTTACACCAAAATCTGCATCTCTTATTTAATCAGCATCTGTCTGTGAGCCTTCTGGCCTCTGGAGACCAATGATTCCAGCTTCAGTGAGCCTTCGAACAACCTGGAGAGATAGTAGTTATGAAGATTCCTGGATACCATCCCCAGAGATTCTGATCTAGTAGGTTTGGGGTGGATCTGAGAATCTGCATTTCCAAGAAGCTTACAAATGATGCTAATATAGAATATAATGCAAAAAACTGTTTTTTAAGCCTACTGGAATAGGGGAGGTTCTTCTGTATACAAATGCATGCTTATATGTGCTTGTAATTTCTCTGGAGCTGGTAGCATTGTTTGCCTCTGAAAACTGGTTTCTGAAAAAAATTCATATGAGGCAGACTTACTTTTCACTCTCACCTAAATCTTTTTTGAACTGGGTATTATGTGCTACTGTTATTCATTCAAAAGTAAATAAAACAAATATATATTCCCTATTAAATATAAACACACATACCTTTTGAACCAGCACTTCCACTTCTAGGGATATATCCCACAGCTATATCTAAGCATGTGCAAATGACAAGGTTATTCACTGCAACATTTTCTTTTCATAGCAAGAGTTTACAAAAATTTGAAAGTTCACTACTAAAGTGAACTGGTAAAATAAACTATATACAGTGCTCAGCGGAATAATATGCAATCATAAAAAATAATATAAGCTAATATATGCTGATGTGAGACTATCTCTGTGACATAATATTAAATGGAAGGGTGCAGAAAGGAGCATGTATTATTTTAATATTTTATAAATAGTAGGAAATGTATATATTTATTAGCTTACATGTACATAAAGTATCCTGGAAGAATATAAAAGGCTTGATATCATTGGTTGTCTCTGAGAAGGGAAATGGATGACAGGGCACTGGGGTTAAAGAATTTTTAAGATATACTCTTTTGTATCTTTTAAATTTTGAGTTACGTGATTTTAATACCTGGTAAATATTTCTCTAACAATACTTGGTAGATATCTTTTCATGTCAGGCAAAACAAAGCTGTCTAATTTTTTAAGTGGCTGGATGATACTACCTTGTTGGATTTACCATATTTAACCAACTCTCCACTGATGAAAACTTAGAATGTTTCTAATTTTTCACTATTGTAAATATCATTGCAGTGAATGTCTTTGGATATATTTTTGCATACATGTACAAGTTTTCTTTTTTAAATTATTTTTTAATTTTTGGCTGTGTTGGGTCTTCGTTGCTGGGCACGGGCTTTCTCTAGTCGCAGTGAGCAGGGCCTACTCTTCGTTGTGGTGCACGGGCTTCTCATTGCGGTGGCTTCTCCTGTTGCGGAGCATGGGCTCTAGAGTGCAGGCTCAATAGTTGTGGCACACGCACAGGCTTAGTTGCTCCGTGGCATGTGGGATCTTCCCAGACCAGAGCTCGAACCTGTGTCTCCTGGATTGGCAGGTGGATTCTTAACCACTGCGTCACTAGGGAAGTTCTGTGCAAGTATTTTTGAGCAATAAATTCTTACAGTTATTAGGATAAAAATACACATATTAAATTTTGATTGTTATAGCTATTTAAATATTTAGTTCATCTTTTTGTTGTTATTTGTAAAAAGTCTCTGATAGCTCTAGATTTTAGCTGCCCAAAACATTTTTCCTTTCCCCAATTTTCAGTTCCAGAACTCTTCTTCCTTGTAAAGAATCTATTTCATGTGTTTGGGGAGGGGCTAATTTCCCTTTTCCCAGTTACAGAAATGGGCATGTGACTCAGCCAATCAGAGTATTCCATTCATGCATCTAGAATGATTTGTTCATATATGGACATGTGAGAACCATGTTGAACCAGTGAAAATCATCCCTAATGTGTTTTGCAGTAACAGTGGAGATAGATAGTGCCCTTTTCTCTGAGGTTCCTGACATTCCAATACACGAACCTGGAATCATCAGTGGTCATCCTTGCTACCTAGAAATGAGACAGACTGACAGAAAGGTGTTACTAAGAGGTAAATGATAGATAGATAGATAGATAGATAGGAAAATAGATAATGCCTTGATGACACGGTTTGAACTGAATTTGCTTGCCTGAAGACTCATGCACAAATGACTACTAATACATTTCCTTTTGTTGCTTCCACTGGTTCTAGTGGGTTTCTGTCATTTACAATCAAGATTCCTGGGTGAATAGTCTAGTTCTCTGTCGGTCGTATGTATTACAGATGTTTTCTCCAGTATGCTGCTTTGTCTTTTGACTTTATTTGTGGTGGTTTTGGCTGTACAGGAATTTAAAAAAATTTTACACAGTGAATCTGTTCATCTTTTCTCTTGGGTTTCATTTCCTACTTAAAAAGATCCTTCTCATTCTGAATTTTTATTAATACCCTATTTATCTCTTTATATTTTCAATTTTGACCTTTAGGAATCTGGAAATTAATTGTTATGTGTGGTGTGAGGCAGATACAGATCCCATTTTTTTAAGTAGAGTAATACATTATTTCAGTGTGCACATATACACATATACCTGTTAGAATGATTATCTCTTGTTCATTGTGTGGTGGCATTACAACAGAGATTTTGTTTTCCCTAGGTTTAGTTCTATTTTCAAATATTTCTGTAATGTATGCCTTTTTAAAAAAAATTATTTATTTTAGGCTACATTGGGTCTTTGTTGCTGCATGTGAGCTTTCTCTAGTTACAGTGAGCAGTGGCTTCTCTTGTTGCAGAGCATGGGCTCTAGGGCGCGCGGGCTTCAGTAGTTGTGGTGCACAGGCTCAGTAGTTGTGGCTCGTGGGCTCTAGAGGGCAGGCTCAGTAGTTGTGGCACACGGGCTTAGTTGCTCCGAGGCATGTGGGATCTTCCCGGACCAGGGCTCGAACCCATGCCCCCTGCATTGGCAGGTGGATTCTTAGCCACTGCGCCACCAGGGAAACCCCTCTATAATGTACGTCTTACTTTCATATTTAAGAAACACACTGTAAGTTATTTTTTTAAAGATCTATAAGAGATCACTTAGATTCTGGGTTTGTACTGAACATGAAGAAATAGCGAGATTGAGCTCTAGGTATGTTTCATGTTTGTCCAAATGTCTAGGTATATTTGTTTCTCTGCAATGTCTCTAAGATATTGTAATTTCCCATGAACCCTATTCTTTCCTGTTTATTCTTATTTCAGTATGACACCACCCAGTTACTCAAACCAAGAAACAACATTATTTTAAATAAAAAATAAATATACTTTTCCTCCAAGAAATATTTCATGGACAAGTGTAAGCATTAATAGGCTATATGCCACTAGGATTTAGCGAATTAGGATTTATTTTTTTAAATCTTGTTTCACAATTATGGGTATATTACATTTTTAATGAATTTATTATCATGCTGTAAATATCCCCTTCTGTATTACATGTGTGATATGGTAGTTACTTCTCCTACATTAATAATTTTATTCTTTTGCTGGACAATACCTTGTATACTTCTCAGGCAAGGTTTTCCTATTTCTGCTTAAAATTGAATTAATTCTCAAGGAGAAGAATACAGGCATCCCAATTTATTGAATTCATTAGTCAGAAAAATTATTTTGCCTGGCCTATTTTTTTTATTTAAATGATATTACTACATGATACGCACAAACTGACATAAAATGTATTTTCTGACATTCTCTAATGATACGATAGTTGTATAAATTTAAGTCGTTTCATTTCATCAGGTTTCATTAGCAATGACATTTTAGATTTAAGTTACCTGCACATAAAAGATACGCCGTATATGAAACAATTCTATGCCTTTCTAAAATTGTTTGTTATCTCAAAATGCTCTTTTACCTTCTTCTTACTAAATACTAATTCTTAAAGCCTCAAGTTCTACTGTATCCATATGTTGCTTTGCAATGTAATTTTGTACATTTTACTTTATTTTCTTTCCAGGCTGTCACTGAAAGCCTGCTGAATGCTGGCACTAGCCTGTGGAATCAGGCTTTATGAGATGGCAGTCAGGATAACTGAAAAATTGTCCCGGTTTTCTTAGAGCCTGGGTAATGAATTCAAACAACTAAATATAGTCCTGGAATTAATCTTTTATTCCCCAAAGCAGTCCACATTTGAGATGGTTGGCACTGGACAAATTTCCACAGAAATGCACAAATATTGAGAACTTGGGTACATGACTTTGAATCCATATGAGGCCCAAACCTCACTGATGACTTTGATTACTATCTTATCCCTGAGAATGGTTGCATAAAAAGGCCAACTGTAAGATAAACACTTTTTGCAAAGGATTCTAACATTTTTCTTTTTATAGTAAACATGCTCTGAAAGAAATTTTCTAGATCTTCTTTGAAATCCCTGAAGACCTTTTTACTAATCATTCTTAAGGAAATATTCTGCAAAGATTCCCTAACAATCACAGACTTTCATTAGGAGCTAGGATTACAAAGAGGATTCACATGAGAAGACACTTATCTTCCACACAGAACCTGTGCTCTCAAAGACATGAATGATTATATACGTAAACTTTAATGGCTTTTAAAGTGGGACTCATAAATCACTGTATGATTCATCAACTCGGGATTTAGAGATATTCTTTTACCAGGAACATTATCGAAAACAAAATTGCTTTCCTTTACTTTTCTGTAGCAGGAAGAGGAACAGACATAAAATATAACAGGAAACTGTGTTACTCCAAAAATATTGCAGGATCGGATGATGCGAAAACCTTCACCGAACATTGGACCATGACACCATTCACATCGGGATGTGCTGCAATGAAGGAAACATCAGATCTACTAAAGGAAAGACATTTTGCTTGATGCTATGTAAGACTCAAAGTAGTATAAAATAGGGCCTTTCTCATTATCGATCTTACCATCTCCTTGAGGAGCTAAGACATATGCAAGTGAAAAACTAAATGCTAAAAAATAAATATATGTGTATAAAATAATCCTAGTTCTCTAAAACAAAAAAAGTATAGATTCATAGTAAGAAAACACCCTAAGGATAAACCCCAAATGGAAGACAGTAATTATCCTTGGACCTATTCTCCTATGTGATCACAGGGAATTTTAAATTTCTTCATAATGTTTTTCTGTATTTCCCAAATTTTCTATAATAAATACATATTATTTTTATAACTCAAAATAAATATATCATTTTAAAAATAAAGGGACTGTTGTAACCTAGTGTAGGATTAGTGTCCATGTATATTTTTAAATGCTCACAAATCAGTTAAAAAAAGACATCAGCCCATTAGTATGTTAAGAGTAGCACATGAATGGACTATTCACAGAAGATGAAACTTGAACATCCAGAGAACATTGAAAAGTAAAGCTTCTCAATTTCATTAGTAATCAGGGAATACAAAACAAAATAACAAAAGAATACCATTTCATAAATCATCAGATGGGCAAAATGTAAAAGTCTGATAGTGCAAAGTTTGGTGAGGATACATATAAATTGGTGGAGTATGAATTGGTGTAATCACTTTGGAGCAACTTGGCAGTTTCTACTTAGGTTGAAGATGCACATACTCAGAAAGAGTAGAGTGATGGTTGCCAGGGGCTGGGGGAAGAGGGAAATGGAGACATGTAGGTCAAAGGGTACAGACTTTCAGTTATAAGATGAATACATTCTAAGGATCTAATGTACAACATGGTGACTATAGTTAATGTGGTATTATATACTTGAAATTTGCTAAAAGTAAACCTTGAATGTTCTCACCTCATAAAGCAAGAGTTAACTATATGAGGCAACGGATGTGTTAATTAACATTATCTTTGTAATCATTTCCTGATGTGTATGTATATCAAATAATCCTATTGTACAATTTAAATATATACAATATTGTAAAAGAAAAAAAAAAAAAAAGACAAAAAACAAGCCTCCTCTGGCCAGGAATTGTTAGAGAGGAAAAATATCTTTTCCTCTATACATCTTAGGTTCATTGGCTGGGGCCCTGGAAATTAAATTTGTCAGTTTAAACTTGTCAAACAGATTAGCAAGAGAAAAAAACGGTTTAATTATGTACACATACATGGGACTTTCTCAAAGAAATGAGACTCAAAGAAGCAGCCAAATGATTGAGGCTTATATACCATCTTAGGCTAAACAAAGGAAAAGGGGATTTGGGCTTCTGGGCTGAGAAGCCCAGTTATGGGAAGGCAAAGGGTGGAAATATATGGTAAATAAGGGTTGTCTTGTTATACAGCTAAGAGTCTTTCAGGTGATAAGAGTTGTCTCCTGAAGTAGTTCTCTTCCTGGTGTGAAAACATTTTACAAATGGAAATTTCCAAAAGGGGAAATTTATGTTCTATTTTAAGGTAGTTACTGGGAGGTAAAGAGCTTTTCCTGCATCTGCTAGATCTCAGTTGCCTTAAGCTCAAAATAATACCTATGTCAAAGAAGCATATTTTGGGGTGGCATAATTCTGGTAGCCTTAAGAAAGTGGAAAAATTCAGAAGGTCCAATATTTGCTATAGTCCCAGAAAGAGCACAGAAAAATAGAAGATAGAATTTTCGAAGTAATAGTGTAAGAAAATTTCTCAGAATTAAAATACATGAGTTTCCAGATTGAAAGGATACATCAAGTACTGAACACACTGAGTTAAAAAAAAAAACACTCACAACGGCACATCATCTTGAAAATTTTAAACAACTAGCAAAAAAAAGAGAAGATTCAAAAAGCTTCCCCTTCCAAAAAAAAAGGTATAGGTTATATATAAAGGATAAGGAATAAGAAAGCTGTAGATATCAAATAAAAAATAGAAAAGTTCATGATGAAGCAATGTCTCCAAAATTCTGAAGAAAATGATTGAACCCAGAGTTTTATACCCAGCCAAATTATCAATCAAGTCTGAGTGCAGAATAAAGACATATTCAAATATATATGGTGTTAAATTTTTATTTCCATGCATTCTTTTGCAGGGAGACACTGGAGGGCTGGCTTCACCAAAATGTGGAGGTAAACAAAGAACAAGGTATCCGATGTGACTATAGTAAAGGAAATTCCAAGATAATAGTGAAGGGAAGTCTTGGAATAACAGTTGTGCACCAGATCTAGACAGCAACATTTCTAGATTAGGGCAGAAAGACACAGGGCTCCAGGATGTATTAAAAAAAATTAATAGGACTGATAGCCATATCTGATACATTCATACTGATAAAGATTTAAATAATTCTATTAGAATTTTCATGGCAGAATTAATGATAAACACATAAAGCAAAGTAAATGAATAAAAGTCAATTACTCTTTCTAGGAAAAACAAAAAGTTGTACAGTAAAAGAAGTATATTCATAGTACACTGTGTAGCCTAACTATGCATTACTTAGATTTTATAATAATTTAAATAATAATTATTGATTTAACTTAAAATCATTATTTTACTTGAGAAGTATTAATCATTTATTATGTCACCAGAACTATCCTAGGTACTGGAGATAACATTAATGAACAAAACTGTCATGTATTCTTCTCTTCATGGAGTTTACATACTAGAGGACCAGCCTGATATTAAATAAAATAATTAGGTAAGATATAAAATGAGGTGATGGTAAGTGCTACAGAGAAAAATTAAAGCAATGAAGGGGGAGGAATAAGGAGTGCCAGTAATGCGAGGCATAGGCTGCTTGAACTTTTAAACATTCTGTAAATAACTATATTGTGAGGTTGGAGGAAGAAGACAGGTATATATGAGGGCTGATAAAAGTCCTAATACCTATCTTGCTTAGTAGGAAATTTAGAGATAATAGCTAAAATTGAAAACACAAGAAGAATGACTCAAGGATGCTATTTAAAAACATAGAGGCAGCTCCAAAATAAATCCTCATATATATGGTCAAATGACTCTCAGTAAGGGTGCCAAGACAATTCAGTGGGGAAAGGACAGTCTTTTCAACAAATGGTCTTGGGAAAACTGAATATCCACACATAAAAAAAATGAAGTTGGACCCTTACTCACACCATATCCAAAAATTTACTCAAACTGGATCAAAAACCTAACTGTAAGAGCTAAAACTATGAAACTCTTAGAAAAAAATATAGGGGAGGGACTTCCAGGTGGGGCAGTGGTTAAGAATCTAACTGCCAATGCAGGGGACACGGGTTTGAGCCCTGGTCCGGGAGGCTCCCACATGCCACGGAGCAGCTAAGCCTGTGCGCCACAACTACTGAGCCTGCGCTCTAGAGCCCGCCAGCCACAACTACTGAAGCCTGCGTGCCTAGAGCCCGTGCTCTGCAACAAGAGAAGCCACTGCAATGAGAAACCCACGCACCGCAACAGAGAGTAGCCCCCGCTCGCCGCAACTAGAGAAAGCCTGCGCACAGCAACAAAGAACCAAAGCAGCCAAAAATAAATTAATTAATTAAAAAATATATATATATATGGGGAAAAGCTTCATGACATTAGATTTGGTAATAACTTCTTGTAAATGACACCAAAAGCACAGGAAACAAAAGAAAAAATAGATTAAGTTGTACTTCAGCAAAATTAAAAACTTTTGTTCATTAAAGGACATCATCAACAGTGGGAAAAGGCAACTGACTGAATGGGGGAAAATATTTGTAAATTGTATTTTAAAGGGGGTTAATATCCAAAATATATAAGCAACTACAACTTGACAAGAGAAAACACAAACAATCCAATTTAAAAATAGGCAAAGGACCTGAATAGACATTTCTTCAAAGAAGATACACAGATGGCCAAAAAGCACATGAAAGGATACTCAGCATCACTGATAATTAGAGAAATGCAGTGAGAACCACGGTGAGATCCCACCTCACACCCATTAGGATGGCCAATATAAAAAACAAAAACAGAAGCAAAACAGAACATAAGTGTTGGAGAGGATGTGAAGAAATTGGAACACTGTGCACTGCTGGTGGGAATGTAGAATGGTGCAGCCTCTATAAAAAGCAGTGTTGCTGTTCCTCAGAAAATTAAAAATTCAATTACAGTAATTTCACTTCTGGAAATAGAAAAATGGAAAGCACGTGTTTGTACAACCGTGTTCATAGCAGTATTCACAATAGCCAAAAGGTGGCAGCAATGCAAATGTCCTTCAACAGATGAATGGATAAACAAAACGTGGTGTATCCATACAATGGAATATTATTCAACTTTTAAAAGGAAGGAAATTCTGACACATGCTACAGCATGGATGAACCTTGAGGACATCATGTTAAGTGAAATAAGCTCATCACAAAAAAACACTAATATCGCATGATTCCACTTATATGGGGTGTTTCTGGAGTCGTCAAACTCATAGAGACAGAAAGTAGAAGGCTGTTTTCCATGGGCTAGGGGGAGGGAGAAGTGGGGAGTTGTTCTTTTATGGGTATAAAGACCAATTCCAGTTTTGCAAGTTGAAAAGACTTCTGGAGATTGGATGCACAGAAATAAAAATGTGCTGATTGCTAAACAGTACTCTTTAAAATGACCAAGATGCTAAATTCTGTGTTATGTGTATTTTACCACAATTGAAAATAAAATTAAAAAAAATATGAGAGCGAACACCCAGAGGAGAATTGCAAAAAGAGTTTGGCAATAGGTGACTCTGGAGGTAAAGAGTGAAGGGGGATAGAGATGCAGGCAGGGGTGATTTTCATGGAAAGACCTGTAGTAAACATTTGATCTTTTAAACTAAATACTTGTGTTGATAAAAGATAAAATTATTTTAAAGAGAAGAAAATTTGGTTGAGCAGGTCACCTAAACTCTTGAGGAATGTCATCTTCAGAATAAGGGAGTTTAGTGGCCTGAGTTGTTAT